AAACGCATACGAACCACTAAAGCTAAGGGTTGGTGGAGGTAGCGCCACCCACTCCCTACCTCTCTCCCAGTATGGTGGTGAGAGTTCTACGATTTTTTAACACCGCCCACTCCCTCACCTCGTTTCAATGACATAAAAGATGTGGAAATCCTATCAGAGCATCATTCGAAACAGTTTCTACAGTTCTGAACATTGTATCGATCGTATTAGTCACAGAAACGATGGCACTTGAATTCAACGTAATCTGCAAGAAGCTCCGAGAACTATCCCTCATTGACGAGAACGTTCTGGAAGCGGTGGTAAGTACATAACCCATACACTCATGTAGCGGCAATACATTATTCACCTTCTATCGCACCATTTACTAATTCGTGTCTTTTTTTGTTTCAGAATCACGATGGTGTGGACGATGGTATGAATGGAGGCGACGTCGAGCAGGTAGACCTCGTCACCGATGAAGGGTTTGACGACGTGTGCGATGAGGGGGACCAGCAGATTAGGTTCCAATCTAAGTGGATAGATGTGTCAGTTGCCAGGGCCCGCCACGAGCAGATGTTGTTCTGCACAACGATATGAATGGTCACAATCATGACGACGACGCAGGGGATGACAAATCTTTGCTATAGATGCTTCTCCATATACCTAAGGCAGCCTAATACTGTTGGAGCATATCAGCACACCTCATCGCATTCTACAACGAGGTTCGATGAGGCACCTAGGTCGTTCTCCTGTGCCGTATGTTCAGCCGATCTACACCAGATCCGCATGTCGGATGTGTGCCCCACATGCTGTAGCGTGAAAATCAAAACTTATCGTTTCTAGTTATTAGTTTAGCATAGTAAGTTCTTATTCATAAGTATTTAAGTGTACAAATAAATATTAATAATATGATTGATTGATGTTCAACTAATTGATGAGTATATGAAACATGTGAATCGAAGAAAAAAAAAATACCTACAAAATAAAATTAAATGAAAATAAATCCTTGAAACAGGGTTATGGGAAGTAGGTAGTTGGAAAAAAAATCCAAAAAAAAAAATTCAAAAAAAGGACTTGAGACTTTTAAATTTATTCCTTACCGCATCGGTTGCTTCAACAAGTTGGCGTTTGAGGTGTATTTCTGAAGCGATTTCACTACTAGGTGTGCTCGTTGTGCTATCCAAAGGTTGAATGAAGTCCATGAAGTTGCTGTTTCAGGGTTATATGAAGCAGTCGAACCCTTTCCTATAACGGCCCTCAAGAATTCCATTATCCTTATCTATAACGAGAAACCCGTATCTATCTGTCCAACTTTGTGCACACATTTCTTGAAATTGTTCAAATGTTACATCTGGAGATACATGATCGGAATAAATGTGGTGTAGATTCATATCATCCTGCCTAAACATGATTATAAAGTTGGAATTATCGCGAATCAGCTGTTTCGGCACTCTCGAATACGTTTGTGCTAGATAAAAGCAATCCACATTTTTATGGCGCCCCATTGAGAAATATGATCTGATTACATCTTGTTTTTCACATATCACATCGTCGAATATGAAAATACTGTGTGGCTTCGCATCTTCCGGTTCAACAATGTCCACATCATTACTATGTGTATAAAACCCCAGTTCCTTTATCGGTTCCAATACTTTCCGCAAGTACTCATACTTGGGTTGATACAACGATTTTGAATAGAGATAAACATTGGCGAATCGTAAACCATTATCGTTGGTGAGGAGGGATATCATAACATTCGTTTTGCCGCAATTTGAAGGGCCGATAATGAGTCTGCGTATAGTATTAGGTAGTAGGAATCCATGCCGACGTTGTGTGATTATACCATTTCCTAACCCTACTTTTCCATCGAAGTTGTCAACTCGCAATGTTTCTTGTTGCTGAACAATCTGCATTGTATGATGGTCAAATGCTATATAATGAATCGCAAACTCTGTGAATGTCATTTATATTATGAAGCTGAGACGATACACATCGGCAAGCGATAACGGTGAAAAAAGTTTTCAAGGAAAGAGGACTGGCAGAGGATTTGTTAATACTTTAATTAATAAATTACCGGTCGAATTACATATTCCCGGCGGCTATCAGTATTGTGGTCCTGGAACAAAGTTACAGAAACGATTATCTCGAGGTGATCCAGGCATTAACCAATTGGATAGAGCGTGCAAGGAACACGATATCGCATATTTCAAGCATCCGAACGATTTATCTGCAAGGCATTCTGCCGATAAGGAATTGGAAGAATCCGCCTGGAAACGTGTTAAATCAAAGGACGCATCTGCAGAAGAGAGGGCCGCATCTTGGCTTGTTACCAATATAATGAAGGGAAAGAGGCGTTTTGGTATGGGATGCAGCAGCGGAGTGAAGAAACGTCGAGTGTCGAGGAAGAAGAAGAATACTACCAAGAGTGGGAAAAAAATTGCTTTTGGGTCCGGCATAGTGCACAAAGATCGCAATGTGTTGCGACAAGTGGGAAAAAAGGAGGCACTCGCCAAAAACTTGGCCAAGACTTCTCTTATGGCGATTGGAGCTGCTAGAAAATTCGTCAAGATGGCTGGTGAAAAGAATAATATCCGAACACCTCGCATAATACCAATTCCTAAAGTTGGAGGAATTCTTCCACTCATACCCATTTTCGCGGGATTATCGGCATTGGGGAGTTTAGCTGCAGGTAGTGCTGGTATAGCTCGAGCTATTAATTCAGCTAAAGAGGGTAGGGAGCAACTCTCTGAAGCGAATCGTCATAATAGACATTTGGAGGCGATCGCTCTAGGAAAGATCGGTAAAGGAGTATATTTGAAGCCGTACCGAAAAGGACTGGGCATTTACTTGAAGCCGCAAAGTTCAAAAAACTAGCAGGGTTACCTCGAAGGGCGTTGACGGACATCGATTTATCACAATACATAGAGAAAATGGGTGTTCCAAACTTTCGAGGTATATTTATGAGAGATAATCTACCAAATTCTCCACCGCGCCACATAGAATCAGCCATTCTGAATCTCGATGGTATTCGAGGTAAAGGGACACATTGGGTTGCTTATAAAAAACGTGGTGGGGTAGTCGAATATTATGATAGTTATGGCGATTAGCCGCCACCCGAAGAGTTGGTGAAATATTTAAGGAGGGGATCAAAAGCTATCAAAATCGTATATAACTATGACCGTCAACAGGATTACAACACAGTCGTGTGGTCATTTGTGCTTGAAATTTCTCTCGTCGAAGGGTGGAAACTACGTATTATAATATGGATAGAAAAAGCATCAAACAAATGGGGCACGCATTATTGGCTTACTCGAGATTACGATCTTTGCTGAAGATGAGTGAGAAACAGCTCGCTGATATGCCGAAAGAGGTTTTAATCGGATGCGCTTCACATGAGATAGCTCTAGTGTGGGATAAATTACCTGAACAATTACGCAACGATCAAGATGTATCAAAATATCGATTTTGTGAGGAGCACCACGAACACCGCCGCCAAGAGGATAGTGGCCGTTCCAGTGCAGATGTCAATGATGGGCCGATACCAAGAAAAATATCATGCTGCTTTTGTCAAATAGAAGATGTAAATGTGGCAACTAACAATAAATTCGATATTAATGCTTCGCCGAACGAAAACAAGAACATTCTTAATTGTTGCAGGCAGCAATAAGGTTGATACTTCTTACTACTGCTGCTGTATACACTGAAGCTTGTTGTTTGGTTTTTGTTGTGTTTGCTTTTCGAATTGTAAAAAGTTATGTCGCAAACATTCACCATTTCTGGAGATCGCAGTATCTTGAGTGCAGATTTTTTTCCACCAATCGAACTCGATGTAAGGAATACTTACGGCTTGGGGTTACATGGTTTCTATTCATACAACTCTATACTCAATATAGATGAGACAAATAACAAATTAGGTATTTGGTTCTTCAGATACAACCAGGCGCCTATGAGATAGATGAAATCAATAGAGCAACACAAAAGGCTATAGAGAGTTGAACTCCGCTGAATGGGCGAAATATTGATGATGTATTCTCCCTTCGAGTCCGAAATTATGTTAATTTTGAGTATTAACGATTCTATAGCCAAAGTCTTGGGCTTTGAACCGAAATATTACAAGCCCAATGTTTTGCATGAATCCACTTTACCTGTGAACATCATAAAGGTACGATTGATACGGGTTGATTGTAATATCACTACTGGAGCGTACCTCAATGGTGAGGAGGTTCACACGCTTTACGAGTTCGATGTCGATGTGGAGCCTGGATACAAACTTTCAAAGGAGCCGAAAAATATTATATATCTACCAATCAGTCCGACAGGGCGTCAGTCTATCGACAACATCACACTGAGAATTTTGGATGATAATGACCGATTAGGTGACTTTCGCGGAGAGAAGATTATAGTCAAATTGGAATTGAAACAGCTCGATTAATTATTACAACGGTTTGGAAAAAATGGGTTTCTGCTTCGGAAACCAATCAAAACGTGTATCTCTCGCTGCAAACCCCACTATTCTACACACTACCGTTAAGAAGAAGTGTAAACGGGGTAGAGGATTCATTCAAAGACAGCTCACCGGTCAGGTAGGACGTCATAGATTATCTGCGAGCGATATAAATTTTTTGGAATCTATTGGTCTGACAGTACGACAAAGACGACGACGAACGAGTAGAAATTAGTGAACAATGGTTGTCACAAGTTCTACTAGCTTACAATTGGAGGTGTTTGATGAAACAATTTTCGATCATTCACTAATTAGCCTACATGAGCATACATACAAACCATATGGTTCACCATCATTCAAGAATTCTGATGAAATCAGGATAGCTGTCAACTTTCAAGATTTGATACTCGATATTTCTGATAGCTACATATATATTGAGGGGAAATTCACACCAGATGATGCAACGAAATCCTGCTATCTATCTAACAATACCTTAGCCTTCTTTTTCGATGAAATTCGTTATGAAATGGGTGGCGAACAAGTATGTATGATTCGAAAATCAGGCATTACTACCACAATGAAGAGCATGATCTCTTATGGCGATTCTAACGCTAAATTTCTTGAAACAGTCGGATGGGGAATTGACAGCGAAAATCAGCCAATTCTAGACAAATCTAGCCACATATTCAGTGGAAAACTACCACTAAAATATTTAATGGGGTTCGCTGAGGATTATAATAAAGGTATATTGAATGTGAAACAGGAGCTGATACTTATCATAGCTCGATCATTCAAAAACTGCTATATAGGAGAAGTTGATGCCAGTGTGGAGATTAACAAAATCGAATGGAAGATAGGACATATTATGCCATCGGATAAGCAGAGGTTGAAATTACTGAACCGTCTCAATAAAAGTTCTACAGCAAAAGTGAAAATTGCATACAGGATGTGGGATCTGTATGAATTACCGTCAATTCGTGAAACATCTTCAGACATTTGGGCTGTTAAAACCACCAATAGTCTCGAGCGACCAAGGTACATTATGATAGGCTTCCAAAATTCTGGTAACACAGATAATAGATCCAAGGATACCACCCAATTCATTCATGCGGGAGTCAACAATATTCGACTGTATTTGAATTCGGAAGTTTACCCTTATGAACGGTGGAATTTGGATTTTGGAAAGAAGTTAGATGCTGTAGCCTATTATGCATACGATAATTTCCAACGAAGCTATTATGGTAAAGACATGAGCGAACCAATGATGAGTATTGAGGAGTTTAGAAAAAATCCGTTATTCATCATAGACTGCAGCCATCAACCGGACACATTGACATCTTCAACTGTCGATATCAAGTTGGAGTTTGAGACACGCCAATCGAAATTTCCATCTAATACCAAGGTATATGCGCTCATTCTTCACGATGCATTTTTGCCATATAGCGCACTAGATGGTTCCATACAGTTAGGTGCTCCTTGAATACACTCTACAGATCTGGAGCAAATTCTAGCCTCCGTCCACCTCCACCACCACCGTCACTGCCGACCATCAGCATTCGAAGCCTATAATTGTATTAGATCAGTTTTTTCATTATTATTATTATGTTCATTATTATTTATTATCATCATGATTATTATTATTATTATTATCGACACATGTATCTGCACTAAATTGAATAAAAGTAAACAAATGTTCTACAAATCATCGTTTTTTATTGCTTGATTGATAGACAATGAAAAAATGCGAGCTCATCATCATTCCATAATTTATATATATATATATATATATACATGCAAATGATAATAGTATGATTGAAGCATCTCTTAGCAATATCATCATTTCGATTCTTCTTCTTCTTCCTCCTCGTTGTCGGATGATTCTGGAATTACCCCCAAGTTGTACTTCCGTATCAGGCTGTTTGGTAGGAAATCAAAAATTTCATACAGAAATTGTTCCAAGTCCTCTCCCACCATTGCTTCAAGAAATTCCTCCAAAGTGAAGCTACCATATTCGAACCGGGCGCATAACATATAACCCTTTCTATATTGTTCGGCTTGTTTACAGAGTCGTTCAACTTGTTCTCGATCGAAACATATGCTCAAATCATAATTTGTCGCATGCATTGCATCACGTGACAAATCAGAGAACTGACATTTCAACCTGCTCACTGCTGATTTGATGTCTTCCGCTGCCGGCCAGAATTGACTAGAATAATGCATCCACATGTTGGGGAACAGGAGTCTGTAAATAATAAAAAAAAAGTTTGGTAATGATGAGATTATTTGGGAGATTTGTCGTTCATTGAATTCTTTTTGGATCCTAATTTATTACTTACCGCAAACGGTACGATCTGCGTTAGTGGCTTGTGTTAATGTAATAATAATTATCATATAATTTTTGAACCCTTTTCACTAAACTATACTAAAAAAAACCTATCAGAAATAATTAAGTAAAATAATTCCGAATTAATTTTGCTTGAAGTCAAACTTGATGAGAGCCCTCGTTCTTGCACCTACATATAATAATAATAATAATAATAATAATAAGTTTATTATTCATCAAAAGCATACGTACAGTAAGGAGTGGGTAACAATACTTAATGTGGTGAATAAAGGGCCTGAGTTCAGTTACAATCTACAAGTAGAATGAACTGTTCTACCATTCAGGCCGAACCTAACCTAACCTAATTGTAATCTAGACTAAGACTAAGCTACAGTAGAGAGGAGAGAGAGAGAGAGAGAGAGAGAGAGAGAGAGAGAGAGAGAGAGAGAGAGAGAGAGAGAGAGAGAGAGAGAGAGAGAGAGAGAGAGAGAGAGAGAGAGAGAGAGAGAGATAAGTATGTCACAGACAATGAATTCTATACAGATAATTAAGTGTTTTGTAAGAGAAGCAACTGTCTTGATAGGGTATTTTTGAATGATCCTTGAGAGCAACTGAAATCTTCAAGTTGTTGATCATTGATGTGATAAGCAATGTTGTAAGAGAAGCATCTTTTGAAAATCTCTTTTCTATGTCTTGGTACAGTAATGAGACTGGTGTGACGAATATTCAATGTATGAATGTCTTTTCTGAAAGTGATCTTTCTGTAGAGGTATTCAGGTTGTTTTGTTTTCAGAACTTTGTAGAAACTACAAACCATGTGCAATTTACGCCTGTTGTTCATATTAAGCCAGTTAATTTCTTTTAACTTATGGGATATACCCTGCCTTCTTCTTATACCAAAAATAAGTCTCAAACATGAATTTTGAACTTTCTGGATACGTTTGGTATCAACAAGGTCCAGGCAAGGTCCATAAACAGTATCACAGTAATTGAGCTGAGAGAGTACCAGAGACTCACATAGCATTTTTTTTATATCCTGGTCAAGAGAGTGTCTGTGAGGATATATCATTTTTAAATTAAAGTAACATTTCTTCAACATATGATTGACATGTTCCTTAAACCGTAGTTTGTGGTCTATTATTAGCCCTAGATTTTTTGCACTGTTTTTAAAAGGAATTACATCGTCACCTATACGAAGTACTATAGATTCAAGTAAGGTAGTTCTGACTGAATCATTACAAAATAAGAGAGCACATGATTTTGAAGGATTGATTTTGAGTGAGTGTGTCTCACAGGTAAGTAATAAGGAATTCAAATCTACATTCATTAGATCATTAGAGAGCAGATGATTAGTTGGATCGAAAGTTAAATATATTTGCGTATCATCAGCATACATGTGATGATTACAGTATTGCAAGCTATCAGGAAAGGTAGAAGTAAACAATGTAAATAAAAGAGGCCCTAATATACTTCCCTGAGGTACGCCACTCACTACATTGGATGTACTCGATATTTCATCATTCAAAATCACCCTTTGACTTCTGTCAGTTAAATACGAGTTCATTAAATTACAGGCTGACTCGCTAAATCCAAGAAAGTGAAGTTTGGATAGTAATAGTTTGTGGTTAATCAAATCAAATGCTTTCGAAAAATCAAGTAAAATTAATATAGTAGCCTTACTCTCATCAGTACCTTTAATTATGTCATCAGTAATATTGGCAAGTGCAGTCTCACAGCTGAATCCTGCTCTGAAACCAGATTGTTTATTTGGAATGATTTTGTTTAAATCCAGATAAGGACGAATTTGAATATCCATAATTTTTTCAAGTACCTTAGATGAAGTTGGGAGAATGCTGATGGATCTGAGATGATTGAATTCAGTAGGTTGCTTAACTTTAGGGAGTGGTATAACATTAGCTACTTTCCATTGACGTGGAAAATAAGATTTTTGCAAGCAGTCATTCAGAATGGAGGTAATGATAGGAACTATGAAAGGACAGCATAAAGTTAGCAAAGTAATATTTATTCGATCATCACCGAATGATTTTGATGAGATATTCTGTATTATATTGAGTACAGTGCTCTCATCCACTACCTTGAAATAGAATGTTTCATTTATCCCAATCTTTGTATTGTTTGAGTACTGGTTAATTATCTCCTCACTGGGAGCAGTTGAGTTGTTTGAGATATTTGTAAAGTAATCATTGAGAGCATTTGCATCAGATAAATTTTCAGGTAAACAATTTTGCTTAGATTTACAGATATTCAACTTTTTGAGTTCACACCATTTTTCTTTCGAAGAGCAGTTCTCAAATTTATGTCTAAAATAAGCCTTCTTTTCAGATTTAACAGCAAAATTAGTGTAATTTCTAATCTGTTTGTAGTATTGATAATGCTCCGGAAGCTTAGTAGCTTTGAATTTTTTCAGAGCTTTATCTCTAAGTTTTTGCATTAATTTTATGTTCTCAGTTATCCAAGGTGAGTATTTATATTTTTTTCTCTCTTTTACCCTTCTGATGGGAGCGTGCTTATCAAATAAAGAAATGATGTTTTCATTAAGGAATTCAATTTTACCTTCAATATTAGTAATATCACTAATAGCGATCCAGGGTAAAGACAACAAATCATAGTTGAAATGATCTAAGTCTATATTTTTTATATCTCTATACGAAAAGTATTTTGTGTGGTTTTGAGATTGCATTTCAGTAACAATGTATGCATAAGTTTGAAAATGATCTGAAAATCCCCAATCTTCTACACCGGAATCAGAAATAGTTAATTGGTCACCCACAAAAATTAGATCAATCAAAGTTCTGGAGGTTTTTGTGATTCTCGTAGGTTCGTTGATGATTTGGTGCAGATTGAACGTTTCAACAACGTTTGATAAACGTCTGATAATGGCTCACTCTGGCCCAAATATGCTAGAGTAAAAAGACCATTTGAAGAATTCATCTCATCAATGTCGCTTTCACTCAGCAACTCTACAACTCTTTTGGGCAACCAACATTTCACACTAGCCTCAGTTTCTTCATCGTACAATATCACAAAACCGCTCCTACCAAACCTGGTTCCACAAAGTGATATTTTCTTGACCACATAGCTTTTATTCACGAGTAGTGATGAGATAACAGTTTGCTTGATAATATCATTGTCTTCGTTAATTCGATTATTTATCGCTAACAAATCAATTTTATAAGCTGCCATTATAAATTCTTTTTTGTTGAGTGAAAAGAGGTGTAAAAAGTATATAAATAATTTTTACTTACATATAACAGTTCACGTACACTTTTATTGCAAACACGTTATATTCCTAATATATTTGAGCAGGTATATTTTTTATGTGCGAGTTGGTGGTGCGTATCTTCCGTATTATTAGGAGAACTATGCTCTCGCAGACGATACAATGATGTATTTATAGGAACTGGGATATGTGACGTAACACAGCACCCCACTTCTACCAAAAACGACCTCGACCAACCTACTCCCATTTTCAAGGTCGCACACGCTTTCACCTCCCTCTCCAATGTCGAGGTCTCTCTCTCTCTCTCTCTCTCTCTCTCTCTCTCTCTCTCTCTCTCTCTCTCTCTCTCTCTCTCTACAACTCAAGGTCACACGTTCCCAAGGTCACATATGCGAAGGTTACTCGTACAACCTTCCTTCAAGGTCACTTTGTCTCGCCCTCAAGGTCACTTCCGCGTTCAAGGGCGCGCTGTCGACACTTCACTATACGAGGTTACTCCCGCCCAAGGTCAGACCCGTTCAAGGTCACTCCCGCCCAAGGTCACTCCGCCCAAGGTCGGAGGACGGTGACCTAGGGCGGAGAGCCAGAACCGGCCAATCTTAACTACTGGAAACGCTAAAAAATATGTTCGGACCTTCGAGTAGTAAATATAGAAAAGTTGACCAAGAACATTTGTCTGATATGTAATGAAACTGTCGCGGTTTTGAAGGAGTACAATTTAAAGAGACATCATACCACCAAACATTTGCAAAACTACGAAAGTTTGGGAGGGCAAGTGAGAAGTGAAAAAATCGAAGAGGTAAAAAGGAATTTAGCCAGTCAACAGAATATTTTTATAGAACGCAGTGAAGAATCTGAGGATATCGTTCGGGCCAGTTATAAGTAGAAGCTTCTTGCGTGCTTTGAGACTCCTCCTCAAGGTTGGGAGGGAATATGACCTTGAGAAGGAGTGGATGTGGCCTTGAAGTCTGCTCGTGACCTTGAGAGGAGTGAATGCGGCCTTGAAGTGTGTTCGTGATCTTGAGAGGAGTGAACGGCTGCCGCAAGATTGGAGTAACCGTGAAAGTGAAGTAACTTCGAGGATTGAATGACCTTGAGAGGAGTGCCGGTTGCCGCGAGAGTCATTCAAGGATGTTTTATGGAAGTGGGATGATGATGATGGTGATGATACGTCACACATCTCAATATATATAAATATAATATTCTGCGTATATTAGAGCATAGTGCCAAAAATACCATTGAATATAGGCAATCTGCTCAGATACGTGAGAATATATACAGGGTGTCAATTTGAAAACTTCCTACCCTCAATATCTCCCTCCAAGTCGATAATATGGAAAAACGAAAAGACAGGTCGATTTTATTTTCGAGGGGGACATGGTTCTAAAATATTTTCAGCCCCGCGGCGTTGCCGCTTCTAAGGAAAAGAAGCAACAACTTTGTTATTTCAAATGAAACACCCTGTATTTTATTGCATTTTTAGATTCTCACTGAAAAGCTGATTTCATCAATGTATCACACTTGGGGTCTAACAGGAATGATTACAGAGATATAGGGTGTTCAAAATCGAGATTTTACAACTTTAGGATTTTTTTGAGTCGAAACTATTCATTATTGGTCAAAACGGCTTTTATGTCCCTATCTCAACTTTTGATTTACTATCTACTGACATTTATTTGAAACAAATACAGGGTGGTTCAAGATTCAGACTTTTGATCACCCTGTATTTGTTTCAAATAAATGTCAGTAGATAGTAAATCAAAAGTTGAGATAGGGACATAAGAGCCGTTTTGACCAATAATGAATAGTTTCGACTCAAAAAAATCCTAAAGTTGTAAAATCTCGATTTTGAACACCCTATATCTCTGTAATCATTCTTGCTAGACCCCAAGTGAGATACATTGATGAAATCAGCTTTTCAGTGAGAATCTAAAAATGCAATAAAATACAGGGTGTTCCATTTGAAATAACAAAGTTGTTGCTTCTTTTCGTTAGAAGCGGCAACGCCGCGGGGCTGAAAATATTTTAGAACCATGTCCCCCTCGAAAATAAAATCGACCTGTCTTTTCGTTTTTCCATATTATCGACTTGGAGGGAGATATTAAGGGTGGCAAGTTTTCAAATTGACACCCTGTATATATTAATATTGAGTGCGATAAAAGTGTTATCTGTTTCATGTGAGTACAATTATTAATATTATATATTTTTACTCCTCTTTTCACTCAACGGGAAAATGACTGCTTCAAAAATTGATCTAGTTGCAATTAATAATAGAATAAATGAAGAGAATGAAATTATCAAACAAGTTCTCATATCATCATTACCCTTGAATAAAAATTATACCATACGAAAAATATCGTTATGTGGTACGAGATTTGGTAGGAGTGGTAGTGTATTATTGTATGATAAAGAAAATGAAGTGTCTTTGAGATGTTGGTTACCAAAAAGAGTTTTAGATCTGATGAAAGAAAGTGACATTGATGAGATGAATTCTTCTAACGGCCTTTATACTTCAACATATTTGGGTCAGAGCGAACCTATATTTTCTGGTGCGAAAACGAGGGCTCTCATCAAGTTTGACACGTTAGGTATACATGGATAAAATAATATTCCTTCATTAATTTCGTAATAATGATAATAATAATAATCTTAAGAATGTTTAGAATAGTGAAAGGGGTTTAAAAATTATATATTAATAATTATTATACTTACATTCTACATATTCACTTCATCACGAATTATTGATTGGATATTCCACTTTATTTTGGTAAGTAGTTCACTTTGATGCAAATGATTCAATGTGAATATATGATTCACACCCCGATTAATTACCTTAATGTTTTTTGTTTCCAGAAATAGACACACGTTCCTGATATTATGTGGATGCATTATTCTAGTCAATTTTGGCCGACTGCAGAAGATATCGAATCATCTGTGAGAAGGTTGAAATGTCAGTTCACGGAGTTGGAGCGAGACGCACTTCACGCAACAAATTATGACATAAGTATTTGCTTGGACCAAGAACAAGTTCAGCAACTACAAAAAAAAGCTGAATAATATAAAATGGGTTATCTACTATGTGCCAGATTTGAATATGGTAGTCTTACTTAAGAGCAATTCCTCGAAGCAATGATTGAAGAGGACATGGAACAATTTCTTCATGAATTATTCAATTTTCTTCCAAATTATCTTATTCGTAAATAAAATTTGGAAGAAATTCTAGAAGTATCCGACACCGAAGAAGAAGAACGAGAAGATTTCGGATATTCAACAGAACTTGAGAGCAATGAAGAAAGAGAAAAGAAAGAAGAAAGTTAGTGTTTCCATATCATAGGTACTCTATCCATATGATTCATAATCACCTAACCTAACTCAACCTAACCTCTGATGTATATTTAATGGAATATAATAATAGTTAGAAATATTTTTGATGTGGCCAATAAAACAATCATTTTGTAGTGGGTGTAATCATTAGTCTTCCAATGATTTTAACGAATCTTATTCATAAAGTGTGTATAAATAGAAGAGATCGAGAACTACTATATCTTTTCGGAAGAACATATTTCTCTATAATGTTAAATTAGTATTCGATTTCCTACCAAATAGAGGAGTACTTCTGGAAAAAAGTAAGCGTTTCCATATCATAATATATGCATGTCATATATATCTAGAGAGTGTTTCAGTTTGTTTCTGTCTAACTTCAATGTAGTGCCCATTGAGGTGAGAAAAAATCCTATGGTTCGGAAACATGTATGCACCACTGCTCTTTCTCCAAAATAAATGAGGATTTCAAAAATGATTTTAATTTTCGGAAAAGAAGCAAGGGAGAAAAATCTCCAATATAATACATCCCATACAGACGTCACTGGCCGAAATATAAAATATCTTCAACATCAAAAAATGCTTATTGGTGCTCAGTGTAGGTGCATGTCAAATTTCGTGAAAATATCTAGAACAGTCGTATTGAGATTATGATGAGAAAACGAATCGTTTCTTAAAATTTCAAAACCCTATAGCTCGAAAGTTAAGAGGTTTAGGGCATATATGTTCATATATGAACTTTTTATTCACAAGACGAGCTATGAAATCACATTCTATATATTTTTTGTCATCAATTGAATTAAACCCTGTTATAACTCAATGAATTCGATCTTCGCATAATATTTATGTACATACCAACTTCGAAATAATTTCGAATAAGATTTCTCATTTTATGATCACAACGAATTTGGGCCTCTAGGAACCATTTTATGATCAGAACAATGTGTATAACACAAAAGTTGCTATAAAGTATATGATAGGGTATGGGTGAGTAAATATACAAATAGCGAAGTAGAAGAAAGATTTTATTTGAAAATGAATAATGTTGTTTTTGTGTGAAAGTTTCAAAGTTTCATTATATCACAGAGAATGGTTTTCGCAGGTATTCATTGAAGGAGTGTGGAACATTTGCTCCATTGTTAAAATTCAGTGGTTTGTCAAATGTAGAAAGCCGGGTGCTATATAGGTACCTAATAATATTATACAAAAGGTAAGGTATAAAAGCTTGATTTGAAGGTGAAAAATGTTTTTTTGGAATAAGCGCAAAGGATTTTATGATTTCATTCTATTATAGAAAATCGCATGTTGAAATTATTATGATTGCCAGAAATGGTTTTGAAAGGGTTACGATGGTATTCGAGGAATAAGTGTGAAGGTTTCTAAAATATTTGCACTATTGTTGAAATTATGTTATATGTCAACATGTAGAAAGTGGCTGCTATACCTACCTAGTATTATTCCACATTGTAGTAGAATGTAGGTAAGTATAAATATAATCAGAATTCAGGTTATTCACTTAGTCTTCTCACTAGTTTTCAGTGCTACATTAGTAGTATATACGAAATTTTTTGAAATGTCTACCACGAAGGAAATGTTTTCCAATTTGTTCGGATATTCCGATAGTGAGTTGGATGAGATAATGCAAGAATTAGAAAATGGCGACGGATGCACTGAGTCGAATACTCGAGGTGGCAGTGATGGGAGTGATCCAACCGGGAACGTCGAGGACAGAGGTGTCCCCATCTCTTTTACCCCTATTCGAATCAACCTCAAGAGGAAGCTCTCGACGGACAACGACGAAAATTGGGTAGTAATGAATCAAAAACTTACTTCGACCAATAAACTTGATATGAGACCGTATATTGAATTGGGTGGACCTATCGATGATATTCTATCGTTCCCACCAATCAAGGCATACGCTGCCATCAGTAAGAGGGCAAAGAAGGAGATTTCCGAGAAAAAAAAATTTGACAGAATGTTCAATGAAAGAAAGCGAACTTGAGGAAGGTTTTCAGGAAATCCAGAAGGAAGAAGAGAAAATAAATAAACGAATGAAGAAATTGGAGGAGGACAAAAAAAAACATTTAATAAAACAAAGCGAGAATTGTTCCACTAAAAAACAAGCCAGCAAGAAGTTGAAGCATGCCGAAGAAGCATTGGATGTGGCCACAAAGATGTACCAGGTGTGGCATAAGCAGATGTCTGAAGCGTTCGAGGGTGACAGTCGATAATATGTAAGTTCAGTATTCTATTAAAAGTTCACAGTTCTTTTTTCTCTGCTTTTTTTATTGGAAACTATTTCGCATGTCATAGTATCGAATATATATATAATTATATCTAAATATTCAGTGTTACAGTAGTAGTATATACGAAATTTTTTGAAATGTCTACCACGAAGGAAATGCTTTCCAATTTGTTCGGATATTCCGATAGTGAGTTGGATGAGATAATGCAAGAATTAGAAAATGGCGACGGATGCACTGAGTCGAATACTCGAGGTGGCAGTGATGGGAGTGATCCAACCGGGAACGTCGAGGACAGAGGTGTCCCCATCTTTTGTACCCCTATTCGAATCAACCTCAAGAGGAAGCCCTCGACTGACAACGACGGAAATTGGGTAGTAATGAATCAAAAACTTACTTTGACCAATAAACTTGATATGAGACCATATATTGAATTGGGTGGACCTATCGATGATATTCTATCGTTCCCACCAATCAAGGCATACGCTGCCATCAGAAAGAGGGCAAAGAAGGAGATTTCCGAGGAAAGAAAAATTTTGACAGAATGTTCAATGAAAGAAAGCGAACTTGAGGAAGGTTTTCAGGAAATCCAGAAGGAAGAAGAGAAAATAAATAAACGAATGAAGAAATTGGAGGAGGACAAAAAAAACATTTAATAAAACAAAGCGAGAATTGTTCCACTAAAAAACAAGCCAGCGAGAAGTTGAAGCATGCCGAAGAAGCATTGGATGTGGCCACAAAGATGTACCAGGTGTGGCATAAGCAGATGTCTGAAGCGTTCGAGGGTGACAGTCGATAATATGTAAGTTCAGTATTCTATTAAAAGTTCACAGTTCTTTTTTCTCTGCTTTTTTTATTGGAAACTATTTCGCATGTCATAGTATCGAATATATATATAATTATATATAAATATTCAGTGTTACAGTAGTAGTATATACGAAATTTTTTGAAATGTCTACCACGAAGGAAATGCTTTCCAATTTGTTCGGATATTCCGATAGTTAGTTGGATGAGATAATGCAAGAATTAGAAAATGGCGACGAATGCACTGAGTCGAATACTCGAGGTGGCAGTGATGGGAGTGATCCAACCGGGAACGTCGAGGACAGAGGTGTCCCCATCTCTTGTACCCCTATTCGAATCAACCTCAAGAGGAAGCCCTCGACGGACAACGACGGAAATTGGGTAGTAATGAATCAAGCCCAGTCAGCAGACTGGAGGAGGACAAAAAAAACATTTAATAAAACAAAGCGAGAATTGTTCCACTAAAAAACAAGCCAGCGAGAAGTTGAAGCATGCCGAAGAAGCATTGGATGTGGCCACAAAGATGTACCAGGTGTGGCATAAGCAGATGTCTGAAGCGTTCGAGGGTGACAGTCGATAATATGTAAGTTCAGTATTCTATTAAAAGTTCACAGTTCTTTTTCCTCTGCTTTTTTTATAATTATATATAAATATTCAGTGTTACAGTAGTAGTATATTGTCACGAGTAGAACATACGGTATATCAGTAATTTCTAACCATGAGGGTTTTATAAACATAAAGTAAATCAAATCATCCGTTGACATTGAATTATAAAAACTGACCAAGGAACTCTCATGAGAAACGTGCATTTCTAATAAAATGATGTATATAAATATTGGATCTGAGGGTTCCGAAGTTAGTCTGGTCTGGGGCTACTCTTGACTTGACAAGAGCTCGTCGTAATGGTTACTATAATGTAAGTTGTTATTAGGTCTTTATATCCATTGTTGTTTATTCATATTTGTCATTGCTACCCATAATGTTTCATACATGCTGCAATAAATATTGTTATGTTTGAATATAGTATCGTACTTTCAGTTACCCCTAAACTATTAGTGCCTATTTAAATATTACCTCTCGCAGAATATTAAGCCAAGCATTACCCCTTATATAAATCGATATGGATGGGCCTAACCGTCCTTTCTTGTGACAATATACGAAATTTTTTGAAATGTCTACCACGAAGGAAATGCTTTCCAATTTGTTCGGATATTCCGATAGTGAGTTGGATGAGATAATGCAAGAATTAGAAAATGGCGACGGATGCACTGAGTCGAATACTCGAGGTGGCAGTGATGGGAGTGATCCAACCGGGAACGTCGAGGACAGAGGTGTCCCCATCTCTTGTACCCCTATTCGAATCAACCTCAAGAGGAAGCCCTCGACGGACAACGACGGAAATTGGGTAGTAATGAATCAAGCCCAGTCAGCACATCCTTTCGTTGTCAACCTCGAAAGATGTCGAACAGCACTTCTTCAAAACTCCTTCATCCATAGAACGGCTAGGCTCTGGAATTCATTGCCTGTGGAAATATTTCCAACAACATATAATCTCCAGAAGTTCAAAAAAAATTCCAATACCTACCTCCTATCCCTATCCTCCCTAGGAACGCACGATGTTCTTCGAACATTATAGGGATTCCCTTTCGTGCGCTCCAAGCGATAAAAAAACTTATATCGACCAATAAACTTGATATGAGACCGTATATTGAATTGGGTGGACCTATCGATGATGTTCTATCGTTCCCACCAATCAAGGCATACGCTGCCATCAGTAAGAGGGCAAAGAAGGAGATTTCCGAGGAAAGAAAAAATTTGGCAGGATTTTCAATGAAAGAAAGCGAACTTGAGGAAGGTTTTCAGGAAATCCAGAAGGAAGAAGAGAAAATAAATAAACGAATGAAGCAATTGGAGGACAAAAAAAACATTTAATAAAACAAAGCGAGAATTGTTCCACTAAAAAACAAGCCAGCGAGAAGTTGAAGCATGCCGAAGAAGCATTGGATGTGGCCACAAAGATGTACCAGGTGTGGCATAAGCAGATGTCTGAAGCGTTCGAGGGTGACAGTCGATAATAAGTAAGTTCAGTATTCTATTAAAAGTTCACAGTTCTTTTTTCTCTGCTTTTTTTATTGGAAACTATTTCGCATGTCATAGTATCGAATATATATATAATTATATATATATTCAGTGTTACAGTAGTAGTATATACGAAATTTTTTGAAATGTCTACCACGAAGGAAATGCTTTCCAATTTGTTCGGATATTCCGATAGTGAGTTGGATGAGATAATGCAAGAATTAGAAAATGGCGACGGATGCACTGAGTCGAATACTCGAGGTGGCAGTGATGGGAGTGATCCAACCGGGAACGTCGAGGACAGAGGTGTCCCCATCTCTTGTACCCCTATTCGAATCAACCTCAAGAGGAAGCCCTCGACGGACAACGACGGAAATTGGGTAGTAATGAATCAAAAACTTACTTCGACCAATAAACTTGATATGAGACCATATATTGAATTGGGTGGACCTATCGATGATATTCTATCGTTCCCACCAATCAAGGCATACGCTGCCATCAGAAAGAGGGCTAAGAAGGAGATTTCCGAGGAGAGAAAAATTTTGACAGAATGTTCAATGAAAGAAAGCGAACTCGAGGAAGGTTTTCAGGAAATCCAGAAGGAAGAAGAGAAAATAAATAAACGAATGAAGAAATTGGAGGAGGACAAAAAAAACATTTAATAAAACAAAGCGAGAATCATTCCACTAAAAAACAAGCCAGCGAGAAGTTGAAGCATGCCGAAGAAGCATTGGATGTGGCCACAAAGATGTACCAGGTGTGGCATAAGCAGATGTCTGAAGCGTTCGAGGGTGACAGTCGATAATATGTAAGTTCAGTATTCTATTAAAAGTTCACAGTTCTTTTTTCTCTGCTTTTTTTATTGGAAACTATTTCGCATGTATAAGTATCGAATATATATATAATTATATATAAATATTCAGTGTTACAGTAGTAGTATATACGAAATTTTTTGAAATGTCTACCACGAAGGAAATGCTTTCCAATTTGTTCGGATATTCCGATAGTGAGTTGGATGAGATAATGCAAGAATTAGAAAATGGCGACGGATGCACTGAGTCGAATACTCGAGGTGGCAGTGATGGGAGTGATCCAACCGGGAACGTCGAGGACAGAGGTGTCCCCATCTTTTATACCCCTATTCGAATCAACCTCAAGAGGAAGCCCTCGACGGACAACGACGGAAATTGGGTAGTAATGAATCAAAAACTTACTTCGACCAATAAACTTGATATGAGACCATATATTGAATTGGGTGGACCTATCGATGATATTCTATCGTTCCCACCAATCAAGGCATACGCTGCCATCAGAAAGAGGGCAAAGAAGGAGATTTCCGAGGAAAGAAAAATTTTGACAGAATGTTCAATGAAAGAAAGCGAACTTGAGGGAGGTTTTCAGGAAATCCAGAAGGAAGAAGAGAAAATAAATAAACGAATGAAGAAATTGGAGGAGGACAAAAAAAACATTTAATAAAACAAAGCGAGAATTGTTCCACTAAAAAACAAGCCAGCGAGAAGTTGAAGCATGCCGAAGAAGCATTGGATGTGGCCACAAAGATGTACCAGGTGTGGCATAAGCAGATGTCTGAAGCGTTCGAGGGTGACAGTCGATAATATGTAAGTTCAGTATTCTATTGAAAGTTCACAGTTCTTTTTTCTCTGCTTTTTTTATTGGAAACTATTCCGCATGTCATAGTATCGAATATATATATAATTATATATAATATTCAGTGTTACAGTAGTAGTATATACGACATTTTTTGAAATGTCTACCACGAAGGAAATGCTTTCCAATTTGTTCGGATATTCCGATAGTGAGTTGGATGAGATAATGCAAGAATTAGAAAGTGGCGACGGATGCACTGAGTCGAATACTCGAGGTGGCAGTGATGGGAGTGATCCAACCGGGAACGTCGAGGACAGAGGTGTGCCCATCTCTTGTACCCCTATTCGAATCAACATCAAGAGGAAGCCCTCGACGGACAACGACGGAAATTGGGTAGTAATGAATCAAGCCCAGTCAGCACATCCTTTCGTTGTCAACCTCGAAAGATGTCGAACAGCACTTCATCAAAACTCCTTCATCCATAGAACGGCTAGGCT